AGGAAAGGAGTCGCGGTAGAAGCTCTAGTTTTTGCATTGTGGGCTTTTCTACCATAGTACAGCACGGAGGAGTGTTTTACTATTGATATATGTGTGTGTATATATATATATATATACACACATATATATGTATATATATATATATACATATTTTTTAAACAGATATCCATTCCACTGCAAGACATAGATCTCTCTTAATTCACTATTGAGAGGTTATATGGCAGTGCCACCCTTGCATGATTGAATATCCTTCCTAATCAACCGCGGTTCGGTGCGCTAACACTTGTGCCACGGCTTCGACTTCCCCTACGACACCTGCGTCTGACTTCTCAAGGCGATATGTCGCTTCTCGCCGTGAAATCGGAATCGAACCAGCAGTCAGATTGCAGGCATTTTTACGACTGCCGCGTCGGGGAATGTATATGTGCATATATATGTATATGCGTATATATATATATATGTATATATATATATATGCGTGTATATATGTGTGTGAGTGTGTGTGCGCGTGTGTGTATGTGTGCATGTGTGTGTGTGTGTGTGTGTGTGTGTATGTGTGTATGTGTGTGAGTGTGTGTGTATGGCATGTCCTTAATGTGTGTGTATGGCATGTCCCCCCACGCTTCCTGCAGCTGGCGTCCCCCCCTCCCCCTCGCCGCGTTCCGGTAGACGCTCGCTATTTATGTCCAAGGATGACCCTGGTTTAGAGAGTTCGTGCCCAGCGCTCGTCGTGTCAAGGTCGCCACCTAGCCTCTGGCCTCTCAGGGCTGGAGGGCAGGACCGCGCGACCCGATCTCAGCGCTTACCCAAGACTCGTCTCGTGTGTTCCCTTCACTGTGTTGTACTCTTCATCAATAAAGAGTCAAGCCGTTATACCACTACGCAAACCAATGTTTAAAGGATTCGATATACCTTTTACAGTGTGTGTGTGTGTGTGTGAGTATGTGTGTGCGCGCGTGTGTGTAATGACCAGACATTTATTATTGCGAAAGGACAAGATCTTCAGAGAGAATGTGAAATTTAGTTAAGTTCTACCTACAAATCGCAACATTTTTCTTTACCTCCTCAAGGTCAGTGAAGGGAGTCAGAGCGCATAATTATTTACCAAAACCAACCTGTGTTCATTACACCAACAACGTACGATGCACAATAACAAATGAATTTCTATAAACAATTGTTATTTATTATTATACATCATCATCGTTATCAAACAAGAGCTAATAATCATAATTCAAAAGCTTTATAAAAGGTCCTGTCAAACACAAGCAAAAGAAATACGCACTTGTTATTTGGATATCTTAATATCTATAACTTCAATCCAGTGAACAAAGATAATCTATGCTATTGTAATAATTATACATTAATCTGATATCATCTTAGTCACAATTGATATCATCTCAAAAAATATATAATTTAAACTCGTAGTCATCAGGAGAGACGTGTGGACAAGCTCTACGAAGGAAGAATTTCGTAACAGACAGCATAAGACTCGATTTTATATAAGAGCAGAAGACTGAATTTATCGAATGTTACATTTAACTGTAGAAGCATCAGGCTTTTCACAGTCTTGGCAGTGAACGGGTAAGGTTCGCTGGCTTGCTTCATGAGTCTAAGATTCACGTAAGCAAGGAACCAGCAAGAGGGATCAGAAATCATCATTTCCGGTGAGTTGAAATAGTTACCTCATGATCTAATGTGTTACTGAATTTCTTGATATCAAGTGTTATCTGTTGTACATATTTCATATTTCTATGTATTGGTTTCTTTATTCTTTGATGTAATTGATTGTTTTCATATATTACTTATAAAAAAGGATGTTTATCAGAATTCAACTCGTTTCCTATGTTCCATATTATATATATATATATATATATATATGTATGTGTGGTCGTAAGTTTGTGGTATATAAATATATATATATATATATACATGCATATCTAGGTAATATAATAATCATATATATTATATATATATATATATGTATAGTATATGTATATAATATCTATAATATACACATGCATATATATGTATATATATTATATATATTTATTATACACACACACACAGCATATATATATATATAATATATACACACACACGAGGCATCA